AGAAATTCAAGTGTATATCAAATGGATGTTTAGCTGCAGCAGAAATCAATCGATTCTAAGAAGAGGATGCGGATATTATTTAAGATGTGTTTTTTAATTGTATGCTCCATCTGTACATATATTGTTTTGTATGGAAAGAATTAATCGGAATTTTTTATGGTTGTCTTTGTGGAAAACAATTTTATTTTGGTTATAAAAGCAACAGAGTGATCCTACTTTTTCGCTTGTTTCTCAACTCCAAATGTTCTAAACATCATATTTTATGCTAGGTAGTTTTCTAGCCTTGCAGAAGTTTACAATCAATCGAATTTAAAGAATGATAGTTATTAGCTACGCAAAAAATACGTTCTTGAGAAAGTTACTAATAAGAAAAAGTCCACTTTGCCGTTAACAAAATTCTTGAGATTGGCAGGAACATGTGATTTCAGAAATAAACCCATTGAATAGTGATCGTTAGTGAATAGTCATCCAGCGATTCTACAATGGACATTGTATTAAGATTTATAAAGAGCACAACGATTCAATGACAAACCAGTATCAAAGAATGGAAATTAACAAGCTGGGAAGCAAAAGCTTTATTTTCAACAAAGAATATTAATGCCCTGAATAATATCATCTGTGATTTTTTCGGCATTAGTTCTACAGGAAGATTTCCGCTGTTGCCAAAATCTACCGAATCAATCTATTTGAGCGATAATTACTTTAAGCGACATTACTTTGATATTTTAACCACAATCAGTTGGACCATATTCCAAGTATTATATGTAGTGTATGCCTTAAGTCTGATTGATCTGGCGTTGTAAACAATGTAAACTTGGCTTCTATGAAAGAAGTACTATGTTCATAAAAATTAGGTCTTCCCTAGAAAAGTTTGAAATCTGAATTCAAAAATTGAGGTAGTACTCACAGATACACCATATGATCTTACAGACAAATCACACAGATCATTTATGATAGCCACTGCGGATAAAAAAAATTAGTAAAATGCCAAAACCCATGATCCCCTAAGAAAAGATATTTTTCTACACACAATTCATGTTGACAACAGTACACAATAGCAAT